TATCTACGGACACTGAGATAATCGTCATTAACTTTAGTTAATTACTTGCCGTATTAAGCTAAGTGGGACACGTGGCATGAGCTCAGCCGCCATTAGAGGTGGTCAGAATCTAATTAATTACTAAACTTTGACACGGATTGCTAAGTCCAAGTTGTGGAGCTTCTTTTTTTTTTTTTTTTTTTTTGGGTCTGTTATGTAACCACTGACATTCTGCCACGTCGTAAGTTTGGAGGGGCAGTGTTGTCATTTTCATGAGTTTTGGGCTGACAGAACAGAACAGAACAGACAACCAAACTGGGGAAAAGCAAAAGTGGGTGGGGAGATATAAGTTAGTACAGGCCCACATGTACTTTCCCTCTCCCTTTTTTATTCATGTGTATGGGCTAGGCCCACATACACTTATGAACACAAAAGAGGGAGATCATTATTTATTAGTTAGTCAGATTCAGACCCACATGTACTTTCTTCTTCTTGAATCTTTCTTTCGTTCCAGTGTTTGGGCTAGGCCCACATATATAAATGAAAATGAAAATGAAAATGAAAACTACAATATAGCCCAGTTAATAACTCATGGACAACAGAACAGAAGACCCATTCCCTGAAATTGAAAGTCACATTAATCTGTTTGGTCACCTGGAAATGGAATTCCACCCAAAAAAGAAGGATCCATTCCATTCCCCCACAATGGAAACAAACACTGACAATTTCACAGTCAGGTTAATTGTCACCTGGAACTTTTTTTCCCAAAACAGCAATATATATACTCCATGACAATATTCAAGTATGGAATTGGAACCCTCATGATTAACCAATTTCTGGGCATATTAATGAAGTACTCCTAAGGTTTCCAAGAGAATTTTTTTATATAAATATGACATCAATAAAGAAGGCTAAAGATGCTGCTGGTAAAACTAGATTAACTCCAGAAACAGAGCTTCTTGTTTGCTTGTTAGGCCAAGTTCGTTCAGCGTCAAACTACCATCTCCATCACTGAAAGCGCGCCTTGGGTATGGCCTCACCTGTGATATTAGAACACAAAATTTCAGTCTCATTTTATGGAATTTCAAGTTTGAAGTTGTAAGCTTAGAGATCAGAATTTTACCAATCTGTAAGTGCCAGGCTTGACTCCTCTACCAATATCTATGAAGTCGAAAAGAGACTGCAAAATATAGGCAGAAAAGTGAGCATGAAAAATGAAAATTTTCCAGAAACAAACTGTTGACTGTTATCAACAGAATTTACCTGAAGCCTGTCGGACTTGAGAAATCGACGGCCACGACGGCTTCCATCTGGCATTCGCACCACAAGAGACACAGCATTTTCACTATCTGCTGCTGGCTCCTGGGGGAGAGAAGCTTCTTTTGCTGCCAATAATCTCTCAAACTCCTGCAGGCAAGAATCATACAGGATTTAATGAGAGCAGAAAAATGCTTGCCAGCGTAAAGCACATCCAAATAACTTCATAGACTATAAGGTGCAGCTAATACCTGCTCCTCCTCCATTTTTCTGTGAGCTTCTTCCCCTTTGCGCCTTTCTTCTTCAATAGCAGCTTTTCTGGCTGCTTCCTCCTCTAATTGACGAGCTTCAGCTTCCTGCATGGCCTTCAACTCTTTATCTCTGTCAGCTTGAAGTGATGCCAGATACTCACCATCCTGAATGTCTCATGAGTGCATTAATGGTTAGATTATAAATTATTACTAGTGAACCAAAAATTTAAAACCTTCACATTTAAGTCAGGGCAAAGGAAACAAACCTGTTGTTCCCGTATCAGGCGCTGAGCTGCCAAAGAGGGTGATGGAGGATGGGGTGGAGGCCTGGGATAAGAGCCCCCAGGTTGCATGAATTGATGTGGTGCATATGCATAATGATATCCACCATCAGGGATTCCACCAAACATTGCAGCCTCAAGCATGACCGCCTCATCATGCTCCTCAGAAGAGATGCCTCCCCACTACAACAATTTAAGCAATAAGGTATAGCATAAAATTTTCAAGTTAATAAACAGCATAGGCAAAAAGAAATTATTCAGCAACAAAGTTCAATAAACAAGTAGAAAGTTTAAATGCCCTTTGGAGATGCAGAAACTAAAAAGAATGATACCTCATCAGAAGCAAAGGTGTTTCCATTATGTGGTGGGTCATTGCCTACAGCTTCCTGTCCAGGACTTGACAGTGGGCTAGGCTCGATAACTCCAACTTGAGAAGACTCCATAGAGCCAGGGGAAGAAGGTTGGGACCCATGCTTGGTAAGCGGCTGCCCCTCCACATCATCAGCTTTATCTTGGATAAAAGAGCTCCCTGCCCCCAACCTATACCAACTTAAAACACCTATATTAGCATCTTCTCTCCAAGACACCTCTAAAATGTATGTTAACCATCCTTCACTTCCATACAATCACAACATGAAGAAACAGGGATCTAAACAACTAACCATCCACAGTTTCATACCAAGAACCCTATGATATATGTCTAATAACACTTAAGGACTAACCCAAGAAATACCTTCCATTTGAGGCTGTTATTTCTGCCAACTCAACCTCTGCAGATTTAGAAGCTCCTGGTTCAGATACTCCAACCATCCAATGCTGCTCACGCAATGCTTTCTCTTGCTCTGCTGTCTGAATTCATTCATGTCAAACAAAAGCAAGACATGACAAAAAGAAAAATACAATTTAGTCAAACAATATAATGACAAACCTTCAAGGATAATGAAACTGCTTCTGCAAGTTCAGCATCATCTAACTGAGAGGGGTTATGCTGAGGCTGATGATCACTTGATTCCTGCAAAGAGATGAAAATGCATTAAATGGAAAACATTTATAATGGAGAGGAATTCCGTAGAATGCATGAACCAATTTGTCAAAGAGCATACCTCAACATCCCGTTTTGAAGCCTCAATAGCAGCTCTAATCATTTGTTCTTCTATGTCATTGCTAGAGTCTTGCAAATCCTCAAATCCAGGGGCACTTGGTCTAACACTGGTATGCTGAAATCTATCATTACGCCGTTCAGCCTGTGCAACTGGATCCTCATCTCCTTCATCAACTATAACAGTTTCATGGGTATCTGGGACATGTGCTTGTGAAGTTTCAGTCACATCCTCAGCAATAGGGGCGTTACGGGAATGAGCAGATGTCCCATTACCATCCTTAACCTCTATGGGAATCTCCCTCACCTCTTTTGGATGTGAAACAGATGGTTCATGGGTTGTGAAATCAGAAACACCATCTAACAAGCCTCCATGAAGATCTGGATCAAGAATTGAGAATTGGTTTCTTGCCGGAGAGAGAAGTGATTGAGAAGGTCTAGGTGGCTCGACTTCAACAGGGTCATCTATATCCATGACATCATCATCTTCAGGAGCAGCAGTGCCTGTTTGATTTTGATCAGCCCTGGGCCTAGAAAAGAATCATCACATCAAAACAAAACAGTAAAAATAAAATCACCACAAAATGCAGGAATTAATAATAGCATCATAGAGTTCACAAACATGTTTCTATCCCCTTCACTGAAATGTGCATTTACAGCTGCATTCAGATCACCGTTGTGTTCCTGTTTGCAAGCAAAATAATTTACAGACGAATTAGAGGCACATAAATCTATCAATTGATCATGATTAACATTCAAATTCCAAATATTTTAGATGCAATAATGAGAAAAATGTACAACCATCAAGCAATTCACCACAACGACTACAGAAAGCATTAGTGGACTGGATATCCAAAAATTGCTTGATATATGGGTATGCAAAAAAATCCCATCTAAAAAATATACCCAAAATCCCCACTTTAATTCTTTTACCTCATCTAATAAAATACCCAAAATAAAAATAATTTCTTTAACTTATAAACGAGCAGGTGCAAAATCTAAATTGCGTATAAATTCATCTCAACATCTGATCGCCGCTTTAATTCATTGAGTCAGTAAAACTTCAATTTTCCAATGAAATCACAGCCGGGAGATTGATCGGAACACTGAATCCAACAATGCAAAGTAAACAGAAACCCTAATTACCAACTAATAAGTCAATCCGCAACCAGTCAGACCCATTAATAGACAAATTAATCCAGTAATCAATCATCAAATAATCCAACCGCACAATCGCACTCAATTCAACCCTCCAGTCCACAACCCCTCCCCAAAAAGAAAACCCAAAAAAAAAAAAAAAACTGGAATGACTACCTCGATCTTTTGGACGGCGACAGCTTCGGGTACGCTGGTTATGCTAATAAAGGTGTCGATTGCTTCTTGGTTGGGTCTCGCCATTGCAGAAATCGGTGTATATCAGAGCTAAGAATTTGTGTTCCCGTTCGGCTTTTTTTTTTTTAATTTTATTTTTTAATTTTTCTGTGTCTCCTGAAATATGGAAACAAGGAGAGATATATAAGGGAACGTTTGGAGACGACGGTCTTTTTTGTTTTGATTTGAGAGTTTCTCCAATCCCATACGCTTCTATGTACTTTTTTTTTTTTTAACTTTCTTTTTCATTTTGTGATTTGCATTTTTTCTTTTTCAACTTGTTGCTCAAGATGCTCAAAGCCACGATGCCTAATGTCCAATGATGGAACAATGCCTAACATCTAAAGGATGGAACAAGCCTATGAGGGTGTTTGAAAAAGTTTAAGTAATTTAGTTAAAAAGTAATATTTTTTTATAAATTTAAAGATTTATTAGAGAATAATTTAAAAATTAATTTTTAAAATGAGTAGTTTTAAACAAATTTTGATGAGTTTTGAGTCAAGACTTATTTAAAATTATTTTAAGAGCCAAATTTTAAACTTTCTTCTAGTCAAATTTAAAAATTTTTAAAAGAATAAATTTTTTTAAAGCAAATGATTTTTTAAATTTATCAAATAGCATCTAAGAAATTTTTACCTTTTCAAACCCTTTCTTAGTATCATGCGATCAAATTCAAAATCTCAAACATCAACATTCAAACTTTTAATTTTTGTTACGATATTTTGTAAGAATTATATTATGACTTCATTTAAAATTATTATAAAGTGATAAACAATTATTTTTTGAGTATTTTATTATCATAAAAATAATATTATTTTTTAATTATTGTTTTGAAAAGAGTATAATACTTTAATATAATTATTAAATTATATAAAATATTAATTAAAATTAAGTTATGATAATAAAATAATACTTTTTAAGAAGGTGATGTACAATAAAAGCGCGGTAAAACCGCAACTCATATGAAACCTACGAAGTTTAATTTTGAGAGATAACTCTACACATTAAAATTGCAATCCACATGAGATTTTCTATTAGATTGTAGGTACATTTAATAAATAAACCATTAAATGCAAGAGTGAGCTTTTAATTTGTTTACTTAAACGTGAGTTTTGAACTTTTCTTTGAAAAAAAAAAAGGGAAAAGAAAAAATGATTGAGATAAATTTTTTATATAATATTATATATTATTTAATGATTTATTATTTTTACTATAATAATATTCATGATATTTTATATCTTTATTTCTTTATTGAAATTTTAAAATTATATAAAAAATTATATAAAGTTATTTGCATATCATTAAAGAGAGAGAGAGAGTTGAACTTGAGTTTTAAGTAGAAAATAGTTATGAAAAGTGATAAATCCTGAAATTATACATAATAATTAAAAAATAAAATAAGTTAATAAATTTAAGAATGCTCTTCAATATCTAAGGAAGGCATTGCGTCTCGTGGGGATTTTTGACCATGAGTAGGATTTGCTTTCCGTTCCCATTATTTCCCAGGGAATCAAACTCACAGGGATTTTCCGTCCCCGTCAATTTATGTTAAAAAATTAATTTAATTATTTTCACTTTATTATTTTAAAATAAAATATTTTAAAAATTATGTTAAAATTAGAAAAAGTATTAGGTTGAGTTGGTTTAAAGTAATTGTGCTTTAGTATAAAGTTAAAATTAAAAATGTGTAGTGTATATAATTTATAACTATAAATTAAATAGTTAAATTCAATTAAATTTAATAATTTATTATTATTTTTTTTGTTTGAACATGTTGGCAAGGAGTCAGGTCGGACCCAAGCCAAAGAGAAGAGAGAGTGCATCGTGAGATGACTAATGCCACTTGACCCGCAAAGCTGGATGCAATTCATTATTTTTTATTATTTTACGAGAAACATGAATTTTCATAAAGTAACGATATTTGGGTTGTAGTTTTGAGGTCAAAAGAGCAATCTAACAACGTGGCCTGCCACGTTGTCTGCTGATCTGGCTTTTAAAAAACAAAACAAAAGGCAAAATAGGAAGGGTTTCAACCTTCATCATTCCTCATTCCTTTCTTTCACTTCCCGACTACCCCACCATTGCTTTATCTCAAACAATTTCCTCCTTTAATTTACTTTTTTATTTCCTATGGGGATTTTTACGATTAGAAATTTCCTCTTAATCTTCTTTTGGATTCATTCTATGGAAATTTTTACTTGGGGAATTGTTATCTATTCCTTTCTCTCATAATCTCGCTGAGAAAATTAATCGATCCTAAATTGTTTCGAGTGGTGCAAGCAGCTTCGATTTCATCTACAAAATCAATCTTTGATCCAATCAATGTCCTAGAGCTCTCAATTTATGGAGAAATTAATTAGAGGAAGGTTTTCTTAGACTCAAATGGATGGTTAATTTTCACCCATTCAATCGTGGTTCTCTGCATCTTCAACGATCACTGCTACTCATTAATCCTGGTTAGTTACTCTTATCTTTTTCTCTTACCATTGATTCTACACATGTCATCTTCAATGCTCTAAAACCTAAAATCCTTCTTGCTCAAAATATGGATTTTCAACTCCTAATCACTGTAAATGAGGTTATCATAGAATTTGATGTAACGATGAACCCTTCGAATTCCCATCTTGTTTTTTCTTTTAAAATAAAACTAGGTTAGCGAATAACTTGGCTTGAGCACTCTTTCGACCTCAAAACTTCAACTCGAATATCATTACCCATTTTCATAAGAACCAATGGGATGAGAAAAATTTTTCATAAAATTTTACAAAAAAATAAATATACCCGATCCTTATCTCGTGAGAAGGAATATTTCTCCTACCCTACCTTTATAATTCGCAAAACCCTGCAGAGATATTAGGGAGAATTGCCATCCCTATATCTTCAACTTATGTAAACGATTTTAAAGGAAATTGAATTAAATAGTTTAGATGGCAAAAAATGAAAGTTAAATGGCTTTTTTCTTATTTTGAACCTGAATTAAATAGTTTCATTTATCAAATAATGCAAAGATGAAATCAATGCAACTAGCCAAATCAAACACCTGCTAAAAAAAGAAAGAAGAAAAAGAAAAGAAAAAGGAGAAATTTTTTCGTAGTGAGTTTATAAGATATTTCTTTCATTCAGATTAAGTGAAGATAAAATTTTAAGTCTAATATGAATGAAAATACTTTAATTAAATTTCTTATAAATGT